AACTCTAAACTGTGGCTCATACATGGCATCATTCTGATGGAGAATGCTGAGTGTAAAAAGCACTCTGCCCTGAGAACGTGAGAAAGCGAGGCCCCTTTTCATCCAGGCTGAAGGTGGTGGTTCCCGCACGCAGCCGTGTAGCTGCCTGTAGACCCAGCTGCTCTGCACAGAAAGGCAAATCTGTAACACCTTGCACAGGGTGTGTGCAGGGGTGCGTATATATATACAAGAAACTGGCTCGTGCGCTCACAGAGGCCGGCTGGTCTGATGAAAGCTGGAGACCCAGAAGCACCAGTGTTTCAGTTCAAGTCCAAAGACAGGAAAAGGCAGGTGTCCTGCTCAAAGGCCCTCAGGCAGGAGGAATTCTCTCTTACTCTGGAAGGTTGGGTTGGCTTTTTGTTATATACCAGCCTTCACCTGATTGGATGAGGCCCACCAACTGGGCAGGCAACCAGCTTTACTCTGTTCAGCCACTTACATGTCCATCTCTCTAGAAACCCCCTCATGGACACGCCCAGAATACTGGTTACCCAAATGTCTGCACACCCACGGCCCAGTCCCGCTGGTAGAATTAATGACCGCATTCGGGTGGACAGAAGCGATGAGGCCTGTTACGTATACCCCTTCCTGCTCTCCTTTAGCCCCCAGCAGCGGGTTTCGAGGACTTGCTGAGCTGCGGTGGCCGCAGGCACTGTTGCCTTGGTCAGGCTGCGCAGCGTGGGCCGTTTGCGGGATGGTCTCTGTGGCCTGTGGCTTAGGGACGGCGTTTCTAGGATACAGGTGAGCGCTCACGGTTTCAGATGTCCCCGGGTCTTTGGATGGGAGAGTCTAGCACTTAGTAAAAAAACTCCCTGCATTTCTGGGAACGCAACAGGTGGGCCCAGATGGGCTGTCGCTACGTTGGTCCTCATTTCTCCCTCCGATGCCCTGGGGGTGAGGAATTCGTGTACAAACCCCAAAGGGCCGCTGGGCCCGGCCGGCTCTGGGACAGCAGCTCGGCCTGGATGGAGTCCCTGTGTCACGAGAGGCCGCGAGACCCTCGCTCAGGAAGGAGGGACCCCGGTTGCGGAGCTCCCAAGAAGCTGGGCTCGGGGTCAGGTGTGCTGGTACGATTCGGACTCTGTCCGTCCACACTGTGGCCTCTCCGTCTCGTTCCCGGGCAGCTCGGGCCCCCAGCGTCCCCGGGGCGGTTCAGCGTGGCTCCCGTGGGCCCAGGAGGGGCAGCTGTAAAACCAAGACGCACCCCTCCCCCCTCCCCACTCCTCCCTTTCCTCAAATGCGCGAATTGACTCACACGATGATGGCTGATGGCGGGCAAGTTGCTTAAAAAACAAACTCTCCGTGACTCAGTTTGCTCAGCTGTGAGATGGGAGAAGTCACAGGGTTTGAGGAGGGGCTAATGCAATCGTCCGTGCCCGGTGCCCCGCACCTGCTCAGTGTTCTGCAGACGCAAGCTTCGTTGTCGTTACTATAATTAACTCCCCCCGCGCCCCGTGCTGTCCGCATCGCTGGGCTGGCTTTTCCTTTCTCTCTCACGCTCAGCGGCTTCACGGGCCTGACGCCCCTCGCGACAGACAGAAGTCCCTCCGCTGGGCAGAGCGACAGGGCGCCCGGCTCCGCGGCCGCCTCCCCGCCTGCCGTCCCGAGGACGCGGGCCCTTGGGTGCGGTGTCCCTGTGCGCGCGGCGGGCGCTGACGGCTTCTCTCGGGGGGACAGGTTCAGCCCGACGCAGTGTGTGCGCTGGTTGCACCTGCTGACGCTGTCCGTGCTGTGCTGCGTGTTCATCTCGCAGCCGCTTCTGGTGAGTGGGGGGGCCCGCCTGCGGGCGTCAGTCTGCGTCAGCCGGGGGCGGGGCTGGGGCGGGGCTGGGGCTCCGCGTTCCTGCCGCGGTATGCGGGCGTCAGTCTACGTCAGCCGGGGGCGGGGCTGGGGCGGAGCTGGGGCTCCGCGTTCCTGACGCGGTAAGC